GACACTTGTGCTCTCTAGTATTCTGGAAATGTCACAGGGAACCAAGGGGTTCAGCTGGAAAGCCAGAAAACAGGCGTGAATGGGGATCTGGGTTTGTTCTTTAAACGCTCAGAACGCAAAACAGTGCTGGACGATCCTAGCAACTGACAAACAGGGGCAGCAAAATCAGATGTTCAAGGATTGCCTGAAAAAAAAAAAAAAAAGAAAAGAAAAGAAAAGAATTGCCTGAGCTATATGAGACCCTGTTTAAAAAAAAAAAAAAAATTAAAAAAAAAAAAAAAGTGACCACGGTTATAGTCATGATTCCAGTACCAATAAGGCAAAGTAAAGTGTTTGTTGTTGATGTTGTTTACCATCGGGGTCCCAATTCTCTCTAAAAGGCAGTCTGTCTTCTCTGATTGGAGCTTGAAATGCCTTAGAAAGGGTTTTAATACTCAGGTTGGGAAGAGCCACGCACGAGTACATTTTGTTTCTAGTTGCCATGGGAGGAGTTAGCTGGCCCCTGCAGGCCTGAGTGGTCGGCCAATCAGAAGGCAGTTCGGCCACAGGCAGCTTGGTCCAATGAGGAAACACGATCATGACAAACTTATCCCAAGCCAAGAGTGGGTAGCGGCAACATTCTGAAGCTCCTCCCCCTTCTTCCTGCCGTGAGGGTCCGGTGCATATAATCAACGAAGGGAGAGAGAGTCCGGAAGTCTTTAGTGCACACAGCACCCTCACTTTCAACTAATGACCCCCAAATGAAAGAACCTTATCTGAGAGATGCGTGTAGTCCTGACTTTGATAAACTCCTCCAGCAGATGGCAGCACGGAGCCAAGTAACGAGGCGAAACCAAAATCTGCTCTGAAGTTTGAGGAACTTAAATACCTAAAACACAGCTTTCTGTGCTGTGGCCTCTAAACCAGCTGGGGAAGGATTTGCCTCCACCTCCACTCTCCCTGCTGGACACATTCCAGTCACGGTCCTGTACTGTGTAAAATTCAGGGACCCCGACCTTTGTGCTATCATTTATTTATTTTTTTTATTGATCTTATAGTGTCATGTTTTTACTTTAAGACAGGGTCTCATTTATCCCAGGCTGGCCTCAAATTGCTAAGGCCTTGAACTTCTGATCCACCTGCTTCCACCTCGAGTCATGCACCACCATGCCCAGTCTATGTAGTGCTGGGGACAGAATCTCGGGCCTTGTGCAAGCTAAGCTCTCTCTCTCTCTCTCTCTCTCTCTCTCTCTCTCTCTCTCTCTCTCTCTCTCTCTCTCTCTCTCTCTCTCTCTCTCTCTCTCTCTCTCTCTCTCTCTCTCTCTCTCTCTCTCACACACACACACACACACACACACACACACACGGGATGGGGGGAGGGCAGTCTGATGATGTCTGACGACCAAGACATGATCTCAGGAAGTGATTTCCTCCCTTCTCATACCCACTGACCTCCTGCAGATGGGTGACAGCTGTCTTTGCTCCAGTTAATTAATTGTACAGGGATCTCTCCTGCCTTCACTGGGGTGCTGGCTCTTCCTAGACAAATTAAAGGGATGTGTCCTCTAGCGGGGTGAGGGAACTTGACTTTGCTAAATTCCGGCCATATCTCCAGGAAGCCAGGTTTGACTTCCCAATGAGAGTACAAAAAAGGAACCACACATGGCACAACCCCCTAATGGTAATCTGCACTCACAAAAGGCATCACACACAATAGGCACTCAATACTAACCGTCCTTAAGTCTCTGCTATGCCCAGTTCAATCCCAATCCCAAGAGACCCCCTTAAGGCCCTGGATGACTCTAGATCCCTTCTCAACATGAGTCTCCACTTTGTTCTGACAACTCCAACCAACAACTGTCTGCTAATAGTTTGGGTTTCGTTTCCATTCAGTGTGGTATAAGGGACCTGAGCTTGGAGGCTAAACCAACTGGAATCCTAATTCTGATACTCATTAGCCACTGCCACATATAAAAAAGTATAGAAATGTTACCCACCAAACTCTTGAAGTTTCAGTTTGGTGGGTAACATTTCTATACACCACAGCCACGTGGCAACATATAGATTTATAGAAATGGGTTGCCTTTAATCCCAGCACTTGGGAGGCAGAGCCAGGCAGATCTCCATGAGTTCGAGGCCAGCCTGGGATAGAGTGAGTTCCAGGAAAGGCACAAAGCTACACAGAGAAACCCTGTCTTGAAAAAAAAGAAAAAAAGAAAGAAAAAATGATTAAGATGAGTTAGCTGGCAGCTAAAGCCATAGGCCATACAGTTTGTAAATAATATAAGTCTCTGTGTGTTTACTTGGGACCAAGCAGCTGTGGGATGCAGGTGTGAGAGATTCCTCCCGACCTCAGGGCCGGGCAGGACCAGAGAACTACCACTACAACTGCCCGCCTTGCTATTCACTGTGCAGTTCCTAACACAGCATTTCCTTTGTGCACACACGTGTGCACATTTGTGCACATGCATGGGAGCCAGAAATGTATGTCTAGTGTCACTCACAATCTCTGCTTTTTTTTTAAAGACAGATCACTCACTATGCCGATTCGGGTACCCTGGACAGCCGGGACGCTCTTCTCTGCTTCTCCAGTGCTGAAACCAGCGTGTCATAGGTCCTGTCATCACGCTTGCGCAGCAAGGACTCTGCCAAGAGGTATCAGCCCATCCTCTGACATGGATTTCAATTCTGGCACCTACATCAAACCCCAGCAAGCCTCCTTTCCCTACACAGACCACTCTCAACTCCCCGCCTGGTTGAGTCTCATTGCTCAAGCATGTCCAATGTGTCCCCTCCAATATTTACTCTGGGAAAACTTGGTTCTCAGGGACCTTGAACCACAGGCCTGTGGTGATATTTGTGCTTTAACAAATAAAACTTACCTGGGGATCAGACAACAGGGCCAACCACTAGATTAGACATAGGGGACAGACAATGGTGGCACACACCCTTAATCCTAGTACTCAGGAGGCAGAGATCCATCTGGATCTCTGTGAGTTCAAGGCCACACTGGAAACAGAGCCAGGAGTGGTGGCACACATCTTTAATCCCAGCATTTGAGATCTCATGCCTTTGCTTGGGGAAGACACACACCTTCCTTTAATCCCAGGAAGTGATGGCAGGAAGCAGAAAAGTATGTAAGGTGTGAGGACCAGGAACTAGAAGCTATTTAGCAGCAGTTTAGCTGAGATCCATTAGACTGAGGACTCAGAGGCTTTCAGTCTGAGGATTCATGGAAACAGGATCGGCTGAGGAGTTGGCACGGTGAGGTTGGCTGTGGCTTGTTCTGTTTCTCTGGTCTTTCAGATTTCACCCCAACATCTGGCTCCAGGTTTTTTATTAATAGGACCTCTTGAGATTCGTGTTACACAGGCCACTCATGACCTCTTGGAATCAAAACCACTACAAGGGCCAGCTATTCGCCAAGATTCTTAAACTTCAGTTCCCTTTACTTCCCAGAACACCTACAGCCTCCAGGCACTGACTAATCACAAGTATTGCTTAGTGACATTTCATCTCCATTGGGTTTCGCAACTTGAGAACACACACCCTACCTTAAAGCTTCTTCATATTTCCAGTTCGCTGCACCTGTCTACAGTTGCCAGTGAGTTCTTCAAACGCAAACTGTGGTTCTGTTAATGGCTCAGGGTGGGCATGCCAAACTGATGGGTTTCTTAGGAGAGTATCGACAAAACATTAAGGTTCCAGCACATAGGGATGTCGAGATGAACAGAGCAAGCTCATCTCCCCACAATCTTCCTTCCTGGAGAACAAGAGCTGGGTTGCAGAGCTTTGCCACCACACAGCACCCAGTAACAATTAACCGTATAGAGACTGGGTCTTCTTCTGATGGAACCTTTCTCAATGAGGAAAGCTGCTAACTTCTACATGTTTTATGGTTCCTGGTCTACCAGGCAAGTGTATGTACACTGACCTTGAAAAAATGGGAACTGCATTGGATCACACAGACTGGTGAGCAAGGCCTCTAGTGAAATGTCAGGGGAATGAAAATGGTTTATTAGGAAGCTAACAGATAGGGAATGGGACTTAACCTCTCATTTAACATGGCAGGAATTTCTGTTGCCTTTTCTCTGGTGGAAGGGCCCCTCCCAGGCCTCGTAATTCCACACACAAGAGGAGTATGTATGCAGTCAACACACCAAAGCCCTGTGTCCTTCCAAATACCACCACACAGATTCCAGCTTCCTTTGCAAGGGGCTGCAAATCAGCTGTAGAAAAGGCCAGCAAAAGATCTGACCACTGAGGTCTGCTGCTCCCAAAATGGCAAGGTAACAAACACTATGATCCCAGAACCTACAAAGGGCATGCCCACCCCTCAGCAGGTCCTGTAGTGAGAGACACCCAGCATACCACTCAGTCTAGCAGTCAAGACTCATAAAGACGGCTCTTCTTTAACAACTGGTAGGTCACATTCATACACAAAAGCATCTGCTGTGTCCATAAAGGGATCCTTGACATCACCCTTAATCATCTTGGCTCCCAAAGACCTTTGTAACACTCAGTACCCACCTCTACCCATTCTCATTCCCAGCTACGCCATTTCCTCCAAGTTTCCTCCTGCATGGACCACAGATAACCAACCGGATACAATCTGTTCATGCTACCTTTTTTAATGGGTACATGGTATACTTCAATAAAGTCCTTAGGGCAGAGAGATTATCTCCTCTGCATCCCCCCATGGCAGCACACACAGAGAGATGATTGACAAGGAGTAGGCACCTGTGGACCCAAGGCTCTACAATAGCCCGGGCTCAAGGGGAAAGGTCACCACCTAGCTGGACAAAGGTAATACTTGCTGCTAAAAACAAGAATTATAGAGCAGCAGAGCTCTAGCCCAGTCCCGTGGAGAACTACTTTATCTCCAGCCAGACTCCTGCTTACCTAGAGACCTGGTATGATAATCACATGAGATAACATAAAGGAAAGTACACCGTAAGCACTGACCAGAGAGTGACTGTGTTATCACTTCAAGTTGAAAACAGTTCAGACAGGGCCCCACCTTGGGCCTAGGGTAAAGGTGGCTTTTATTTCCTCTCATAAGTGAAGGGTAGCTTTCCCAGGTACCCCAACCTAAGGAGAGGGTGGGTGTGCTCCAGAGGTTGGGGCTAGAATTGCCAGACGACCATTCCGACGGGCTTCTCTGTGTCCGCTTCCTGGCACTTGACGCAGGGTGTGGGTGAGTCATTCCCCTGGAGTAGCAGCTCGGTGTCAATAGAGGCACAAGGAGGTATGTGCTGGTATTCACAAAATGGAAGGCAGAGTGAGGAGCAGGGCTGGGCGGCGGCCCACACCCGATATCTGCCTGGTGTAAGGCCTGACTGCTGTGGCTCTCCTTCCAAGGGCCTCAGGGGCCCAGAAGCATCACTCCATCCTATGGCTGGTCCCTTAAATGTCCATCTCAAACTGTGACTCTTCACCTATGGAGAGAAAAGACAAGAGGGCCAATAACCAAGGGGCAAATGGAACCACACTCCAGGCTTAGAGGCCAGGGAGTTATTCTCATAAATCCAATGGAGGCGTGCATGCTGCCAAAGAGAAAAGTTGACTAGGCTTCCTCGTAAGGGAGGTGAGAGTGCTGAATTTTCTGTAAACTCAAATTTTAATACGTGGTCAAGGGCTGGAGCTTTGTTTCTTGTCCATTTAAGGAAAGTTAAAACTATGCACCCCCATCCTGACACTGTATGGGGCTACCAGGCCACTATTTGGGGTGGAGAGCTGGAGTACCATCAGAAACTAGGAGCAGGGAAGGTGTGCCAGCAAGGGTAAATGACAGCCTTCAGTTCATGGTGACAACTTCAGGTGTGGCCTAACTTAATCTTCTGTCATTGTGCAATCACCAAGGACTCCCTCCATCCTTGAACACATGGCAGGGAACCACACATGTAGCTTGGGAAACACACATGTAGCTTGGGAACCACCTGTCACTCTGCTCTCTGCACAGAGTCAACTCTACCTTCCTATTGCTACTCACCTCCATCCCCACCATGGCAGCTGGCTTCCCAGAGAAATCTGCAATCACATCCCACAGGGCCAGGGAACTGTCAGCAGCTCCCTGTCTGAGTCTGGTGCACACTGCCTTCCGAGTCAAAAGTCGGGGGGGGGGGATGGTATTCCTCAGACTGAGGGTACGTGGGCATGCTTACATGTGGGCATCGTCATGGGGACATGCTGACACATTAGAGAGCTCAGGAGCCCTGACCAACTAGGAGCTCTGCCACAAGAACACGTTCCCACCCCACAGGCGGCTGCCAGGGTGTCTGCTTTGATTACTGTGGGGAAGAGTGGGAACCAGGAAGGACCTGGGCTATAAATGTCAAAGCTTCAGTTTCAATAGAGGTATTGTCTGCCTGTCTTCACCAACAAGCCACTGAAGGACCAGTAACTTGCCAAGAGGTACCTGAGTTTATCTTGTAGACATGTAATTTCCTAGAGGGGAAGTACACGTGTCTTTGATAAGTTGTCTCTCTAGCACCACACATATATCGAGGCTGTACTCCAAGCATGGCACCTGTGCGGTGGTGCTTTGGGATCAACTATACAGAGAGGGGCAGGCTGATGAAAGGTGCTGTGTAAAGTCACTGTCATTTTATATGAGTTCCTCATGAATTACATTACCTGATGCATCAGATCAGCTGTCCTGGGGTCCTTGGAGCTTTGAAGGGGTCAAGCTGGAGCGAACTGGAGTTCTGCTCCCCACCCTCTAGGCTCCCTATGGTAATATTTTATTTGTGCTGAAATGTGATTTTATTTGTATGTTAATAAATAAAGTTGCCTGGGGGTCAGAGCTACTAACAAGCCATTTAGCAGAAGTCTGGCAGTGGCAGCACACGCCCTTAATCCCGATCACATGACAGGCAGATCTCTGTGTGCTCAAGGACACCACCAGCATGGAGACACACGCCTTTAATCTCAATACCAACCATAGAGACCTGGAGGTCTGTATAGACAGGCAGTGACGAGGTCATGTGGTTGGGTTTACAACCAATGAGAAGGCAGAACAGAAAGTCAATAAAAAGACAGACACACAGGAAGTAGCTCTCTTTCTCAGGGGAAGGATGGCAGCGGCATTGGGTGGTGAGAAGGTGGTCTCAGCTTTTGGCTACTGCTCTCTGATCTCTGGGCTTTTAACTTTGCATTTGGCTCTGTTTTGTATTTAATAAAACCGTTTAGAATTACATCTACAGCTCCCCACAGCTGCTCCTCAGAGGGTGGACAGTCACCATCGCCCCCTCCATGAAACTTGGACTCCCTAGAGAAGACAGACAATCCTCCTCCCAATGCAGAGCCTGGACAGGCCCAGTACTCACCACCTGCCCGCTTATCTTCCGGGCTGCTGTGCAGGTGACTCTGGCTGGCTTGCATAGAAGGCTCATCGCTGGTTGGGCTAGTGACCCCAGGAATAGCTGGCAGGTCCTTCGGGGGTGTTTTGGCCACAGGTGAGTTCCGACACTCCATCAGGAATTTCCGCTCATAGATGATCCTGGTTCCTGGTGGCGGAGGTGTAATAAAGAGGCTGGTTGGTAAGGTCACCTGGAGCCTTTGCCTGTTGCCTTTTCCACTTCCTGGAAGTGTGGCCACAGCAGAGGCAGCAGGTTCTTGTATACAACCTGGACCAAGGGGCAGCAAGGTTGACTGAGGGACCTGACCAACCTGGCCACATAGCCCTGCTCCACTGGCCACCCCAACACCACTTGGGGTGCTCTTCCCTCACAGGAGTGCTTGCTGGCCACCAAAATGTGCCTATTTTCTCAGAGCTCTAAACATCCTGTGCCATCTCTACAGTCCCTCAGCTCCCCCTGTCAATAACCCATGACAAGCAGATCCCACAGAAAAGGGGAGCCTTGTAGTCATGACATCACCCTATCCTGCAGAACCTCAGTAGGTGACTCATCCGGAACAGAAAGACAGTGGGTCACTCCCACCAGCAGGAGACTTCTCCCTGCCCAGTCTTGGCAGAAACATGAAACACTCAATCCACCCCAAAAAGGTCTCAGGCTGAGCCCGTCTCCAAACCTCCACAACATCTACCTGCATCATCTCTCTAAGGGCTGACATGAAGGCCATCCCCATTCTACCCAACCTCCTATCACAAGGTAGTCTTATTCCCCAGAGGGAGGGCCAGTCTCAGTGAACTATTCTCCAACAGTAAGCCATCCTCAGGACCCTTTACCTCCACCCACGCGGCTCCCTGAACACCATGTAAGGGAGCACTTCCCAAGGTAGAGCAAGATCATTGTGGGTGTGGTGGTTTGAATAGGTATGGCCCCCACAGACCCATGTGTTTGAATGCTTGGCCCATAGAAAGTGACACTATTAGGAGGTGTGCCTTGTTGGAGGAAGTGTGTCACTGTGGAGGCAAGCTTTGAGGTCTCATCTGCTCAAGCTACACCCAGTGTGGGACACAGTCTCCTTCTGCTGCCTACAGATCAAAATGTAGAACTCTCAGCTCCTTCTCCAGCACCATGTCTACCTACACACCACCATGCTTTCCTCCATGATGATAATGGGCTAAACCTCTGAAACTGAGCCAGCCCCAGTTAAATGTTTTCCTTTATAAGAGTTGTCATCGTCACATTGTCTTTTCACAGCAACAGAAACCCTAAGACAATGGGAGACGCAAGAGGTGAGAGTAAGCAGATGAACTTATCCACGGTTTCCCATGGCCTCAAACACAGCAGCATGGCATCGGTGGTCTGTTTTTAACCCCTGAACAGCACATACTGAATGCTTCCTTTTCAACAAGGCCCAAGCCTCAGGTTCCCAGCCTCCAGTAGACAATGGCATCCAGCTGGAATTTAAGAACGGTCTTTGCATTTCTATTTATAGTTATCTTCTGCAGATGACAAATGAATCTGGTTTCTCAAAATGCAGTAGTGGTGCCCACTTGCTTCGTAACAGAGAATACATGTCGTAGATTACATATTGTATAGTGTTATAGACCACACATACTAAAAATAAATTAAGGGCCGGCTAGATGGCTGTCACCAAGCCTGACGACCTGAGTTCAAAACCAGGAATCCACACGGTAGGAGAGAGCCAATGCCCACAAGTTGCCTCTGACACCCATATGCACGCTGAGGTATGCACCCACCCACACCCACACCCACACCTATAGCCATACCCATTCCCTCTCGCCATCTCTCCCCCGCCCACCTTCCTCCCTCTCAATAGATACATAATTTTTTAATTCAATGAATTTTGACTTGGGGTTAGGACAGAACTACTAATAGCTTCTGAAATGTACACACACACACACACACACACACACACACACACACACACACACGCTGCTGCCATCTTGCCCCACTTATTTCAACGAACGGCTTTCTTGGCATGGACGATGGTTTTGTGAATACTCTTGGTTTGAAATAAGTACATAGTAAGCCAAAGTAAAAGAATAAACAGCTTAGAGAGAGATGGGTAGACAGACAAACATCATTAAATCAGCCAAACATTCAGCAGAAATCGGCTGCAAGGCAGCTAGCTGGTGGTCCCCTCAGGTGAGGCTCCCAGGGGAAGAACAGAAAGCAGACAGAGGAAACACCATCAAACGGGATGTTCACAACACCACCCAGCAGGAAACGACTAGGGAAGTTGAGGCAGGCAGCTGGAGTTCCCGATCGAGTTCCAAGGCTGAACTTCCAGCGTCTCTCTCCCACTGCAGGCACTTTTATATCAGGGGGTAAACAACGGAGACCTTGGTTGGCAGTGGTTGACCTTCCGGCTGCTCCCACGGGCATTTTCGCTCTACGTTTGCTCTGCTGTTTCCCTTCCCTCCTGTGACACGGGCGAGAGCATCTAGGCGAGGTGCCTTGGAGGACAAGGACTGTGAGATAAAACACACTTGGGTCTGAAAGAGGAGAGGGTGACCCTGACTCTACAGGCAGCTTATCAGTCAGTTCCAAGAGCACAGGACAATTTCACCAACACAATGTGCGCCGCAGATGATTATGAAGACAAAATGGAGATCTTAACTGAAAAAACGTTGAATATGCTTTATGTCCTACCGCGGGAAACGTTCAGCCAAGATACCATTCTTCACAAACAAGCAAGTCATCTCAGTAGGCAAACTTGCTTTCATCTTTAATAAACAGTGAAATTGTATGTATGGCAAAAAAAATTGTCCTTCAATAGATTTATGATTGTATCAGTTAGTGTTTGATTTGCATACCTATTTCATACACCTACACACCTAGGATGGTGTAAAAACTCCTACTAGGAGAGGCCAAGCAAAAACGGTTTAATAAGTCCTGATCACGGGGTGTGGTGGCACTTCCTGAACTCAGGAGGAAGAGGCCAAAAGATCTCTGGGAGTCCCGAGGCCAGCCTGATCTACGTGGCAAGCTCCAGGACAGCCAGGGCTACAAAGTGAGACCCTGTCTCCAAAAGGTAAAAAGAGAGTCCTGATGTAGGGCCGTGGGGAGGCACACCTGTGGGAGTGCCTGTGAGGACATGCCCAGGGAGGGCTAACGAGGACAGACCCACCCTCAATGCCCGCAGCACCAGCTCAGGGTTCGGAAGGCAGCAAAGCACCAGCCTTTCCCTTCTCTCTGCTTCCGGTCCACCCTACAGTGAAGACCCACCTCTGCCACATGCTCCTACAGCCATGACGTTCTGCCCGAGGGCAATGAGTCAAGTGACTGGGCACTGAACTCAGAAATCAGGAGCCAAAATAAATGTTTCTGTTTCAAGTTTCTGTCAGGGATTTGGTCCCAGTGATGAGAAAAGCAAAGTTTAAAAAAAAAAGAAGAAAAAGAAAAAGAAATGTAGCGGCGGACAGAGCACACACACACAGTGAGTCAGCTGTGTAGGTGGAATCCAGCGCCTACTGGGTGCTGGGGTGAGAGTTCAAAGTTCAGTGTCGAACTGCCTGTGGAGTAACCTTTTATTTCTAGCTGAGTCCTGAAACACACCTGTCTCATTTCCTAGCTCCACTGACTGTGGACAAGGTACCACTTTCTCGGCCTGTGCCTCAGTGACCTCTCAAAGACCTCAAAATGGGCCTGTTGGCATCGTCAACTTCTGGTGTGGATTAGAACAGTGGCCCACCCAAGGGAACCCTCACACATACACTAGCAATTATCTGTCCATTAAGATTTCAGGTGAGAGCCAACCCTGTTGGGGAGAGGTGTGGGTGAGTCAGCCCCGAGGTGGTGAGCATGGGAAAGCTGTCTCCACTACTCATCTGTCTAGTGGCGGTATGGGCAGGAGAGAGATGTCCTCCCCACCACCCATCAATGCCTGAGGCAGAGGGGCGAACTGTCCCTGACCCCACCAGCTGCAACTCTCTGGAGAGCAGGCCCTACACCTTGCCTGGGCTGCACAACAGAGCTGACCCTGTTGGCTGAGGTGTGGATGAGGCAGCCCTGATGCTGTGAGCATGGGAGAGCCGTCCCCATTACTCATCTATCTTGAGGTGGCATGGGTGGGGGAGAGATGCTGTCCCCCCACCCACCCCACCCCACCCATCAATGTCTGAGGCAGGTAGGGGAGCTGACCTCGAAGTCATAAGAGCAGGAGAGCTGTTCCTTCATCAGCTGTCTCGACCTCGCCTTCTCAACACAGGAGAGCTGGCCCTGGAGGTATAGGTGTGGGAGAACCACCCAGAGGACTTGAAATCGGAACTGGCCCCACCCCTTGCTAATCATTACAAGGGATAAACTAGCCTGGGCAATGCTGGAGAACCCACCTCAGTGGTGAAGACAGGGGAGAGCTGGTGGACTGATCAACCCTGCAACTACCCAGGCCCAGAACCAGAGTTATGTGTTGGCCCACCCCAACATCCACCCCACGTATGATCTGCTGAAGCAGGGGTGTCAGTCCTGTGGACCCAGGGCTGCAGGATTTCCACGACACAGGGCATCAAGGGGATGTGTCTAGGAAGAGGCCCAGTGAGGGCCCAGCAGCAGAGACCAGGGGCCTCAAACTAGACCAATGAATGATTCTTTGTGATCAATGCCTACATGTAGAAATATATGGATAAAGGGGTTTACTGTGTGACTCACTGTGTCACATTGCAGCTTCCGTGACAAGATTTTCCCCTTCTTCCTTTTTTTTTCCCCTCCTCTTTTTCTCTTAAATTTTATTTTGTTTTATTTGGGGGTGGGGCGGGAGATGGGTGGGATCAGGAGGCATGATGTGAAAGGCACAAAGAATAAATAAAAAGGTTTAAGGTATCAAGCTGCCCCAGTTGCTCAGTCCCATCCATAGCAGGACACAATTTCAAAGCCACAGTGGGAACACAGCAGGAGGAATGTGTGAGGGGCAGTGTGGGGGCGGGAATGGGTGGGCATCCTCCATCTCTCTCAGACACACAGAACATGAGAATGATCGTGAATTTAGTACGGTTGGTAGCCTTTAGGACCTTAAGTTCCAGGAATGCACAAAACATAGATAAAGTCCTTACTAAAGTCATGGTTTAACACCGATGCCAGTTTTCCTGGACACACAAGTAAGGAGGCATTCCCCAGGGACCTAGTTTTCTCAC